TTTATGCAGTGGAGAAATAAACCTCAAGGAGCTAAAGTATATTCAGGATTTTTTCAATGTTCTGTCACTCTAAGGAAGTAACACATAACTAATTAGTAATATTTCTTTACAGGTTATAGATTTTTAAACTAAATATCTGTAATCATATTTCCTTCTCTCACTTCACCTACAAGCACATAAAGTATAAAATAAAAATTTTTCCTCCTATTCATTTTTCTATATTCAGTTACTAGAGTGGAAAGTAGTAGATATTCAACAGAGAGTTTGAAAACAATGTTCTTGCACACAATTCTTAATTTTTCTAGCTGAAAGAAATTTTAACTTTTTCTAAAATACATGTGAATTACTTTAAGACTATTAGAATATCTTCTTATTTTACACATTTTATTTTTAAGTTTAAAAATATAGTTTTGTTATTCTTTCCCTTGTGTTGAACATCAGAGTCTTTGGGAATAAGCTGAATGATCTAGGTACATTCCAAGCTCTTCAAATGGAATATTGTCAAAAGTTGAGATATAAATATTTAATTGTTATAATTTGCAACAGGATTCCTGAACAGCATAGATAGGAAAGATAGAAAGGAAAAGTATGAGTAATTGCAAGTTGCTGCACAGAGAAGTGTTTTAGTTTGTTGGAAGATATTTTACTTTTTTTGCCAAACAAATCTGCAATAATCCCTAATGACATCCCACGGTTTGCTGTTATTGTTTTTGTTTTTGGTCTCTTGTGCTTCATATTATCTTTGCAAGCAATTACATCTACCCATTAAGAACAGTTTAGAGACCTAACAGCCTTGTGCGAGCGAAAACCATTTGGATCACAGAACAAGTCAATACATTCCAATGTATATAGACATGCAGAAACTAAGCATGCATGGCAAAGGAATCTAAAGCTACTAGTGCGAACCCTCACTTTAGTTAATATGTATGAAATTCTTACTGTATTTCAAACCTACTAGTATGTATTTTGGTGGCTTTTGCACTTTTATTCCATCCTTAATTTCCTGTTTTGTAAATGAAATGTATAAAATAAAATTAAAACTATGGCAAATAAAGAGGTTTTTACAACAATTAAAACGTGAACTAGACTTATTATTCTATCAATTAAAACTAGTTTGACCTTCACTTCCCAGGTGAAGTAGACACAGTTCAAGCGTTACATTTAGAGTAGTGAAATAATTACATGGGTATAAAACTGTGGTAGATCAAATAAATACTTAAATATTTTCAAATTTAAATTAATTTGAAAAAGTACATAAATGTGTGAGTATGAAATTGTATTTATATGAGCTGTGATTATTAATCTGTATGTATTTGCTGTGCGTAAGAGGGTGTGAGTGTATTGAATGTAACTCACGACTGTATGAATCTTTGGATGTTTCAAGGGATGAAAGTTTGTTTTGTCTACCAATTTGCCAGTCTCCTTTTTACATTACACTTGCAAATAAACTTTAAGCTTAAGTAAGGAGCACTGCCATGGAAGCTGGAAACAAGTTTCTGAACATCAACACACATGTCCTCATTTGTACATTGTAATGGGACACTTTTTTAATGGCCTTGTTGGAAAGTCTCAAAGTGATTCCAATGCTTTGTTGATTCCATGCTTCAGTGAGAACCGCACATGTGTATCATCTTTGGCTCACTCTAAGTATGAAAGCACCTACTGCTGTGTAGCAAGATCTTTCACCTACTATCCACTTCTTCAGGCAAAGAATAAGCTCTGAAACACAAACAGTCACCAGTTTGCACAACTGATCAGTCCACCAGGACAGAACATTATGGTATAAAGGACCACATGCTACTCTACCTATTGCTGTATACTATATGTCTATGAGTTTTTCTTTTTGTCAATGTCTATGGCTATGTCTTATGTCAAGGTGTACATCGATGTCTCTACCTGTTGTGGTGGATTGACAACTGGTGGTCAACTTACAACACCCAGCTGAACTGAGCAAGCATGGTGCTGGGTGTGGGGGGCCAGCCAGAGGACTATTGCCAGCAGTATAAGAGGCAGAAATGGAGAAGAAGTTAGGCTGTTGGGAGCTGATAGAAGCTGTTGGGAGCCTGTTGGAAGCTGAGAAAAGCTGTAAGGACCTGTTGGTTCTCTTGGAGGACTTGTCATTCTGGCTTTCCTGATGAACTTGGCTGTTTTCATCATCTGATGAGACTGGGACCCTGTTGGCCCTGAGGATGGCTTCAGTTTATTTTGTTCGAGCTCTGGTCCTCACTCCTAGCATTGCTTTCTGGATCCAGAGGGGAAGACTGTGCAGTATTCAGTCCCTGAGAGAAGCTTGTCACATTGGCTTTCCTGACAGAAACTCAGCTGTCCTGATCATCGGAGGATCTTGGGACCTCACTTTTGCTGACAATGGCTGTAACACTTTTCAGGGGAGCTCTGGTTCTTACTTGGCATATCACTTCCTCACTCCAGTGTAGATCCCTCAGCCTGCTAGCACAGATCCTTCATCCCACTGGCACAGACTTTCTAGATTCCACCACTGAGCTTTGGGCCTTGCCAGCACAGATTCATGAAAGAGGGCTGCATGAGACATTTTCGTGCTCTCTGGGCCTCCAGCTGGATTTGTGGGAGGCATTGTTATGTGCTCTAGGCCTTCAGCTGAAGTCCTGCAGTACGTTATCATGGGATCCAGGCCCTCAGCTGGATTCTTGGTTGAGAGTGTATAGACAGATTTCCTGCACTCTCTTGCATATCATTCTTTGGGTGACTATTATAAATAATCTTATAAAATATGTGTCCTGTACTATATGTTTCCTTTTGAAAATAACCCCAATGACAAAATATATGATTATCTACTTCCATATTTATCTATGTATCTATCGATCTATGGATCTATCTGATCATCTGTTGGCTCTCTCTTCTACCACCTATTCTTCTTTTTCTCTCTGTCTCTCTTCCTTCCCTGTCTCTTTCCTCTTCAACCTATGGATCAGACTCCAGACATTGAAGACTAAATTCACAAATGTACTTTGTTGATAAAAGTATTGCTATCTTCTGCTCCTTGTGGGTTATTTGTCTCATTGGGTCAAATATCACTCAGAAAATATATAAACCAGAATTCTAAAACACTTACATTAGATTCTGTTCTGTTGTATACAAGAACATGGAAGCAGAAATTTTGCTGACTTATACAGCTGATGGTTCTGTTAGTGGATTAATAAATAATGGCTGCACAATTTATTATAAATTAGCCACAGTCCGACAATCAATACTGCAACTTACAGTGAATACAGTTTTGATGAAAATGTTAACTTTAAAGTATTCAATCATTTTAACTAATGTTTAGGTAAAGTTTTTCATCAGTCCTTCGTTTGTTATATAAAGGATGGGAGGCTATATCACACAGAGTGGAGCTGATGCTGGGCTTTGGGGCATCTTTACTGACAGGAGTCAGCTTATATTCCACCTCTGGTCCCAGGCTCTGGTTTATGGAGATACAGGAGTGCATATATTTCAGTAATAAAACTTGACATTTTAAAGGGAGAAAAGATGCTTTTACAGAATTCTGGAAATAACATGAAAGAAATACCACTGAGAAGAACAAAGAAAGTGTTAATAGAGTATTTTGACTGATGCTCTTTCTAAGTATCGAAGGAAGTTACTGTATTCTACATGAAGAGAGGGGGATTAAAGTGTGGCTGACTATGGCAGAAAAGTAAATTTAGATGAAAATGTTTTCATTGTTTAAAATGGATGTGTGCCACCAAAGTAGTTAATGGATTAACTTGCAATTTTCCTCAGTTGGCTCTAAAAGCAAGGTTTCCAAATGAACACCAGAAATTAGGTTTGAGGAAAACCTGACTTGTGACATTTAATCTTCTTTTCCTTTGCAAATCTTCTTTTTCGAGAGTAGACATTTTTTTCTTATAGAGATTGATATAATTTGCCAATTGATTAACAAAGTTATGCAGCATTCAGCCCATGCTTCGTTTCATTATTTACACAACACAACAGTTAAAATTCGAAGTAACTTTCCTGGCATCATCCAACCAAACTAGTTCAAAGGGAAGCATAGACACCAGAACCTTGCAACAGTGTTAGACAGAGCAGATTTACTGTAAAACGAACTCCATCTTGAAAACATAGCTACTAAGAAGCCTGAAGGTTTACTTTTGGTAACCCCAGTGGATGGCACTCTGTTAGGCAATAACTTGGATATTTTCAACATCTGTGAGTATTTTGAAATATTTGGCCTAAGGGGAAATAAAATTAAGGAATTTAGTGATCTCAAATATATCAACATCCCTTCCTTACTGAGTCCTTGATATTTTTGCAATTTATTTATATTTCTTTCGATGGTCTAATCCACCCAGCTAGAAATAATCCATGGCTTATTAATTTATATTATAAAGTCATATATTTCCACACTCAACATCATATATTTTTACTAGCAGAATATGATGTAATATACTTTATATACTGTAAAGTACCAAATGCATTAAAATGTAAATTTCAAAAGAACTAAAGAAGGAGGAAATAAATCATAGAATGATTCATACATATTTAAATGCTTTAAATTAATGACTTCTTATAAAGAATTAAATACATTTTATCTATTGCATTCTGTACCTCTACCATTCAAAGACAATGCTCACGTTTCTCTTACATACACTGCTTATCAGTAAAGAGGTATTTCCTTTCAGGGAACAATACAGAAATTTTATGCTTTGGATGAAACTATTAAGAATCCATAAAACATAGAGGAAACTAGGCACTTGTGGAAACTTTCCAGAAATTAGCCTCCCATTTGAAGTGATTTATACTTTTCTTCAAAAATCGCATGAGAAACATTTGAATCTAAGTGTAGCTAAAATGGATCATTTTATCATTTGTAAAATGAGGGGGTTGGATTAGAGGATCAATTCTACCATCTGTAGGAGTTTTACCACCTTAATGCCTAGCGCTGAGAGAAAGAGTGGTGCAGGGTGAGGGTTCAGAACCCTATGTGGTGGAGGCTGAGCTGCATCTGTGGTGAGCAGTGAAATGTCTGCTGCAACATGCGGAGTTCCAAGGCCAGTTTGCACAGAGTGAGCTGTGTGGTAAAGAGCTTGGGTCCCAGGGTTCACAGACTGGGCAAAGTTAGTGGGCCAACAGGAAACAAGATAAATGAGCAGTGACTAAGTGGGCCCAAAAAGGAAGAAGCAAGATTGCTATAGTTACAAGGCAAGCTATGTGATTGTTGGCACAAGCATTGTTTGCGACGTGCATCAGAGTGCACACAAGGGGAGAAGCCCACAATTTATCCAATAAGGCGTATTTTGTGGCTTCTGGGTTGGGGTTTGGCCAAGAGAAGTGTTACAGATTCTTGTGGCACAGAGTTCCACGTCCTTATCCTCCTTCATTTCCAATGAAAACAAAGTCTATTGGAAAAGCATCAGCTATTGAACCATGTGTTCCATTTTGATATTCCTTATATTAAATTCGGTAAATATTTTTTCTCCAAACTTAACCTTTGGCTGTTACTTAATAGTGTTTTGAAACCATATTAACTCTTTCAGTCCACTATGGCACATGGAAATAATTTGTATGAAGATAATGAATTATTTCTTGCTTACAAATATGTGGGAATTTTCTTCATAATAAACCACGTATCCATCTCCTCAGCACCTTCGACACTGGCGCTATTTTGGAAACCACAGTCAGATTTTGATGTGGTGAACAGGTTGTAGTTTTATTACAAACATTATGATGTATAAACCTTATAGATGTCTCACACTTGGAAAACTTTTTGTGAATAATTTTAACAGTAGCCAAATAAACCCAAAGTGTTGTTTTTATATGTGTTGTTGTATCAAATACTGTTACATTTCAAAGGTAAAAAAAATATAAACCTTGGGGATTATAACTATTTTCAGTGGATGATTAACGTGGTCCAGGTTCTAATTCAGTCCTAAGAATAATATTCATCAGGATCATAAAACAATTACTCCAAATTTGCAAAGAATATGTACAATACATAAATATATAAATATATTCAAAAAATAAAATCATTATTCCCATTTTGCAGTTTGAAACGGAATGTCAGTGATGTTGTATGACTTGTTCAAGGTCTTGATTAAGAAGTTTTACCTATGGGTTTGAGAATTTGAGAGCTTGAATTCTGATGCTGATAAATTGGTTTCTGTAAACTTCATTCCCATAATCATTAAATGTTACCTATGGAATAGAAAAAAAGTTTCTTTACAACACCTTCTTGCTCATCTTATGATTTGGATATTTAAGCAGAGACCTTTCTGTAATCCCCCTTAAAGAATCAGCCAACAACAAAGGGGAAGATAGTGGATTTTCTTTTCCCTCTGATCATCAGAGGGAAAAAACTCTCCACTTTGGAGGGCTTGGGAAAGATAAGAAAACTATATGAATACATGGGGATAGTATCTTACATCACTAGAGAAGGCATATACTAAAAACGCACTGGTATTTGTTACACAAACATGAAACGGTTCTAGGTCCCTCATTATATGATAGTCACTGTATTACCGACCTCACTCTTGTCATTTCCTTCCCTTGTGTCTCATATTGCCTTGCTGGCTTTCGCTAGCTACAGACAGGAGGCTTCCACAGGATGATGCCCTTCATCTGTGGCTTTGCCACTCTTACAGTTTCATCTTCTCTGTCATTGTAGAGTGCAGCATTTGTCATGACAGTTTACATGCCGCTTGTGAAAAGTGAACATCATTCCACATTCTGACTGCTGGCCTGTTATGTGAGTCCCTCATTTTTGCTGTACTTTTCTCTTGAGCTTTCTGCATTTTATTATCTATAGTTAGCCACTTGTACCTTCAAGTTAGGAAAAGTATTAAAGCAATACAGAGTAAAAAGCCATGTTCTGTGTCAGAATGACCTAAAATGGTGATTCTAGGATTGCTTTAAGTTTATTCCACTTTACTTCACCAGCTATCATGCAAACGAGAAGAAAAAATAATACAAACCAGATAAGGATACATTTTGGGAGAGATAATTTGTCATGAGTCCTGAGGGTCCTGTGGGTGCCTGGCAGATATTCTAAGAGTGTAAGTCTTTAATTTTTCTCCTCCTAGGCCCTAGGAGGAGAAATGCCTCCTAGGCATTTCTTAGCTTGTGTTTGCAGTAGGATAGGAGTAAAAGATTCTCTTGCCTCTCAGTAAGAAAGCAGTGAAAAGTCTTGATTATGACACAAATGCATGACATGGGCAAGATTCCTTTGGCCTTTGTAGGGGTCTGAACTGATATAAGCATGAAGGTCATTATGCATGTTTTACTGTGTGTCATGGAGCTCTTTATCTCTAAATCAGGATTCTGGTGTCTTCTTCCAGGGACCATGAAATGCTCAATAGGGTAAGTTTGCTCACAAATAGGTAAAATCCAAGAGTTTTCATAGTATCTGACAAATACAAGTAACTATAACACCTTGATTCCTTCCTAATTCCTCAACAAGTAAACATAAATGTTGCTTTTGTCTTATTTAGGTTACTTTCTAAAAACATAAATCACAGATGTGAATGTAAGTAGTTCACTTATGATTAGCAGGAGACAGACTTCAGCAAACAGAGAACTGAGACAATGATGAGGGCAACTGATAAAGGGTCAGATGCACAGCTGAGTATCACTCTAAGTAAATGGAGCTTTGTCCCACTAGGAAAATTTGGGAAGTCCACATAAAACACATGTTACTTAGTTACTTTCTCTAAGAAGTAAGTAAGATGGGGTACTTTAATACCAACTCCTGCAAGTCATTGGTTGGGAACTACTTTTGATACATGTTTAATCCTTGCCATTTCCAGGATACCTGCCATTTGGACAGAGTGATTATCAGAGTCAGAGAAATTTGCCACACACAGAGATGCAGATACAGGAAGTAGAATGAGCCTGTGTCCACTGAAATTGTAAGACTAAGGGGATATATTTGGGACATCAACTACAGAGCCAAGTGGCCCTAGTGAAAGGAAAAAAGTTAAATCACATCACAGGCATGGATTTGCTGCCTTGAACACCATAGGTTAAAGATATAGAAAGGCAACACACAGCCTGCCAAGTAACAAACGGCATATTCTGTGTTACTATGTATGCATATTTTAATTTATTTTCTTTTTTTACTATACCATCAGATATACTTTGCTGCCATGACCTACTATAATGTGCAAATATACTTTTGTAGGAAGAAACAGAGTAAAAAAGGTGCCCATAGTAAGCATGCTGAAATTTATAGCTGAAGAAATAGTTTCCTATTTCTCATTATCTTTCCAAATACCACTATTCTACAGGAGGACACCTCTGTCCTAAATACCTTGGCCACAACTTGAACACAATTGAGTTAAGGAAAGGGAAATGATATACTTCAAGAGCAGCAGCACCATTGTCACAGGTGCAATGATTTTCTGAAGTCTATCCTTGCTATTTCCTTTACCTGCATTTCTCTAATTTACAATGGGAACCAAGGATTAGCACAGTTGGTAAGGCTTTGAGAATCGTCCTT